TCTTTTGTTTCTTTGTTAAGTTTCTGTCTGGTGTTCCTGTCCAATGGTGAGAGTGGGGTGTTGAAATCTCCCACTATAAGTGTGTGCGGTTTTATTGTGACTTGAGTTTTAGTAATGTTTCGTTTACAAACGTGGATGCCTTTGCATTTGGGGCATAAATGTTCAGAATTGGGACTTCATCCTGATGGATTTCTCCTGCGATGAGTAGGAAGTGACCTTCTTCTCTTTTGTGTTTATCAGAGTCAGCAATGTAATGTCTCTGTAGTATTCTTTTACAAAGATTAATTCTACCACTGTCAGAAGGCACATTGCATATTTTCTTAATTTCCCTGTCTTTAACCTTGATTCCTGGACTATTATCCATTCTGCTAATCTGTGTCTTTTTATAGGGGCGTTGAGACCATTAATGTTGAGGGATATTAATGACTAGTGATTATTTTTTATTCTTGTTTGTTTTTGATTTGGTGATGGTGGAGAGATTCTGTGTGTGATTCTGTCCCTTTTTCCTTTTGGCTGTTGGTAAGTTGGGATTATCTATTGCCTATGTTTTTCTGGTTGTGGTTAACTTCCCTGGGTTGGAGTTTTCCTTCCAATACTTTCTGTAGGGCTGGATTGGTGGATATGTATTATTTGAATCTGCTTTTGTCATGGAATATCTTGCTTTCTGCATTTATAATAATTGAAAGCTTTTCTGGGTATAGTAGTCTAGGTTGGCATCCATGGTCTCTTAGTGTAGGCAGAATATCGATCCAGGAACTTCTGGCTTTCAGAGTTTTCAAGGAAAAGTCAAGTGTGATTCTGATAGGTTTGCCTTTATAGGTTACTTGACTTTTTTCCTTTGCTATCTTAATATTTTCTCTTTGTTGTGTATGTTTGGTGTTTTGATGTGTCGAGTTGACATTTTTTTTTTTTGGTTCTGTCTATTTGGTATTATGTAGGCTTCTTGTATTTTCATTGGTATGTCTTTCTTTAGGTGGGAAAGTTTTCTTCTATGATTTTGTTGAATATGTTTTCTGTGCCTTTGAGTTGGATTTCTTCACCTTCTTCTATAACTATTATTCTTAGGTTTGGTCTTTTCACAGTATCCCATAGTTCCTGGATATTTTGTGATATGAATTTGTTGGACTTACGGCTTTCTTTGGTTGATGAATCTATTTCCGCTAGTGTGTCTTCAACCCCTGAGATTCTCTCTTCCATCTCTTGTATTCTGTTGGTTATGCTTACATCTGTAGTTCCTGATCGTTTACCCAGCTTTCTATTTCCAGCATTCCCTCATATTGTGCTTTCTTCATTGTCTCTCTTTCAGATTTTAGGTCTTGAACTGTTTCCTTGAGAGTCAAGGAATATTGATTGACTTGAAGATTGATATCTTGTATTTTTTGTGTTTTTTCTTCCATTTCTTTAAGGGATTTTCTCATGTCCTCTTTGAGATTCTCTATCATTTTCATGAAGATACTTTTAAGGTCATTCTCTTCTCGTTCATCTGCATTTTGATGTTCAGGTCTTACTGTTGTATGGTTCCTAGTCTCTGGTGGTGTCATATTGGGTTTTCTGTTGTTGGATGTGTTTTTACCTTGTCCTCTTCTCATCCTTTCTTCTGGCGGGTGTAGCAAGAGTTTCTTCATCTCCTGGTGGGTGTGGGACCAAGGTTCTCTTCTGGTAGAAGCAAACACATCCAATACTCTGATGTCGGTCCTCTTCTCATGAATGGTGGTGTCACTGTTACCCGGGTTTTGGCAGGGTCCTGGGCCGGTGGATGGAGGCAGGCCTCCTCTGGGTGTTCGGTGTTCAGAACCCGCCACCGAACTGGTTGGCACGCAGGTCGCTTGTGTCAGGTGACTATGAGCAGCGATGACAAACTGGAACTGGAAACAGTTCCTGGCCTACCTGGACCACTGGATGGAGGCCGGGCTGCCTCTGGTGTTTGGAGTTCTGAACCCGCTGCCAAACTGGTCCGGCATGCAGGTCGCTTGCGTCAGGTCATGGAAGACTATTTTTACCTTGAACAAGATCTCTATTAACTCTTTGGTTCATGACACAATGACACAATCATTCTCCTTCATCTTCCACATTGTTTATTCATATTCTGACTTTTTTTGTCCATAAACTTTTTCTAAGCCATCTATTAAAAACTCTCTCATCTCTCTTCCACTATACAAAGGTAGCAAATGGTGCTCAATCTGCCTCTGTGTTCCCATAAAGAATTCTATCTCTGTTGTTAAAGAGCTCTATTCCTCCCTCTCCAAATCTTGATGCTCACAAGCCTGCTAAATACAAAGAACCTGTGCCATCCTAAGATACTAGCTTTTATAGTTTCATTCATTGTCTTGAAGGCCAACCATAGGACATCACCAAAACGATGGTTCTTGTAAGGCCAATTTTCAGCACAGGAAGCAGAGAGAATTGAGGAAGAGCTTCAGCTGGGCTCAGGAGCTAGGCAGAGAGAAAAGCCCCTCCTTTGAGTTCAGGAGGAGTGAGACCTGGTATTTCCACTAGGGCAGTGGTTTACAATCTGTGGGTCATGACCACTTGGGAGTCAAATAACCCTTTCACAGGGGTCACATACCAGATATCCGGCTTATCAAATATTTATAATATAATTCATAATAGTAGCAAAGTTACAGATATGAAGTAGTGATGAAAATAATTTTATGTTTGGAGGTTGCCACAGCTTGATGAACAATATTAAAGGGTCACAGCATTAGGGAGATTGAGAACCTTGCCCTGGTGCCTGAAGGCATTAGGCAGAAGAGCCAGAATTTCAGTGTCTACCAATGATTCAAGCATGACCTAACAGAGAGCGTACCTGAAGATCCTAAGATACCAAAAGAAACAAGGGACACTAAGGGTGGAATCACTCTAAGTTTTGACAGCACAGAGGAGTCATGATGATGAAGGTCCCATTTAGAGCTCATCCCTCCCTCTTCTCTCCATCTGTGAAATCTTGAATGTGTGTCTACTCACAGAAGCACCAATGATTTCTCCTATGAGAGATTTCTTCTCCCTGATCTTTATTTGCACACCTACACTGTGTTGGTGCATAAAAGGGCCAAGGATCATGATGACTCCATATTCAAGGACAGGGATCCTGGCATTCCAGAAGGACTTCAGAAGCCATGCTAGGTCTATCCAAGAGACCAGGGAAGGAGCAGAAACAGCAGAGGTGACTTTGTCCTGCCTGTTGGCTATTGGCTCCCTGTGGGTTCTGCCTTATCAGTTTTCCTGCAATAAGAACTTTGCCCAGATCAACCAAATTTCCACACCTACACCCTGAAAGGTTTAAATTCCAGCCTGGGAAAAGCCTGCCTCTACTGTTTCCTGCAGAGAGACTGTCATCTTGTAACAGCACAGGCTTAGGCCTGAGATTCAACCATGCCACTCGATAGATTTCCTGGTTGGCTGTATGCTGTGTCCTGTGGGCTCCTGCTTCTCTTCCTCCATGTGCATGGTGAGACTGTCTGAGTGATCAGAGGAAACCAGGGGCAGGGTGCCCAGTTCTGCAGAGTCAGAGGCTGAACTTGTAGGAGTGAAGAATCAGGGAGGGAGGAGCAGGTGACGATGACAGATGAGAGTATGGATGTGTGCATCCATTAATGTCCCCACCAAAGCCCACAGGATTGGCCCTGTGGCATGTGGAGGGTTAGGGATGTCTAAGATAGGGAGCCAGCAGGGCCAGAAGAGCAGAAGGAATATATGTCCCTCCTCCATGTGTGATTGTGGGTGGAGCTCCTACTGACCTCAGATAATGACAATAATTCCTTGATGATGCCAAATGGCTCTGAACCTGCCATCTTGCTGGCAATTTTCAAAAGGGACATAGACAAGGTTTCCAGAAGGCCTCATCTCTACATTCCACAGATTAACTGAGAGCACTGCCTTCCCCATGTACCATGGTGATGATGAAGTAAGAATTCCTAAGAGTTGTGACAGTTGATGACATCTCTTCACCTACAGGACAGGACTCAGCCAGCCCCATCAGGCACACACACACAGGGCAGGTGAGAGGAAGCCTTGTCCATGTGAAAGACAGTGATGTTGGTGTCCACACCTTCCTGGGAATTCCTTTTGCCAAGCCACCTGTAGGACCACTGCGATTTGCACCACCTGAGCCACCTGAGCCATGGAGTGGTGTGCGAGATGGGACCTCCCACCCAGCCATGTAAGTTCTGGAGCTCAGGGGACCTTAGGCCTGAGCATTAGCCTGCACTGCAGTGTACTTCCATCTCAGCACTATAGCTGCTTTCTGTCTGTGCTAAGGGCAGTCTCCAGTGCATTTTCCCAATGAATGAGCTAAGGATTAGAGAACAACTGTGCCAGACTCCTGGGTGAGAACTTGACATCTGTAGGGAGTTATCTGCAGATAACTGGAGCAGAGACTAAGGCCATCCTTCACTGTGACCATGCATTGTCCAGGTGCCACTGACTAAGGAACAGGTACACATGCTTTCAACTAGGAAGAGATGATATAGAAGAAGGAGGTACTTTGAGAGTCTGGAAGTGGGATGAAGAATGTCTCACTACACAGTGGTATTGTCCATTCATTGTCCATCTATAGGGATCCATAGGGATCCCTATAGATCCCTATGTTGGCATAGCACCTCAATACTCAAGTATCTTAGTTTGTATTCTGTTGTTGTGATAGTGTACCATGACAAAAGGAACGTACTGAAGAAAGATTTTACTATGGGTCAAAATTCCAGGTTATAATCAGCCATAGGTGGGAACCGCTGGGGTAGAAGTTTTAGGGAGCTGATGACATCACATCCATAACCAGAGCCTATAGGTCACATGAATGCCTGGTAATGCTTCACATACTCTCTCCAGTCTTATACAGTTTAGAAGCCCCATTTCCAGGGAATGCTTCCTCTTGCAATGGCCAGGTATTCTTTCTCAAAAATCATAATGAAGATAATTTGCCCTGGGCCTTCTCACAGACAAACAGGATCTAGATGAGTGGTTTTCAACCTGTGGGTTACACCCCCAAAGGGGTTGCATATTAGATATACTGCATATAAGATATTTGTCCTATGATGACTCTATGTTCAAGGATATGGATACTGACATTCCAAAAGGACTTCAGATGCCATGTTGGGTCTATCCAAGAGGCCAGGGAAGGTGCAGAAAATGCAGAGATGTCTTTGCCCTGCTTGCTGTCTATTGGCTCCCTGTGGCTTCTGCCTTATCAGTTCTCCTGAAATAAGAGATTTGCTACACCCAACCAAATTTTGACAGTTATACCCCTAAAGGTACAAATTCCTTTCTGAGCAAGGCCTACCTGTTCTGTGTCCTGTTGTTGTGTCTCTGTGCCTGTCACCTTGTTGATTAGAAAAGTGTCCTGCCAATTTTCAAGAGGGGCAATGGGCAAATTTTCCAGCCCTAGGTAATACAGAAGGCTTCATCTCCACAGCTGAACTAAGAGGATCCAGGTTTACCTTCCCCATGTGGCATCTCTCCACTTACAGGACAGGACTGAGACAGCCCCATCATGAACACACACACACACACACACACACACACACACACACACACACACACACACACAGGACAGGTGACAGGAAGCCTTGTCTGTGTGAAAGACAGTGAAGTTGGTGTCCACACCTTCCTGGGAATTCCCATTGCTAAACGAACTTGGGGACCACTGTGCTTTGCTCCTGGTGAGACCCCTGAGCTATTGAGAGTTGTGAGAGATGGCAATTCAGAGACCCTTTCCCCAAGGAATGATGCCTCCTACAATGGGCAGGTATTCCTATCTCAATGAAGGTAATCAAGCTAATTTGCCACAGGTGTGACAAAGGCAAACAGGCTCTAGACTACTGGTTCTCAACTTGTGGGTTACAAGTTCATAGGTCACATTGAGATATCCTTCGTATCAGACATTTACATGACTGTTCGTAACAGTAGCAAAATTACAGTTATGAAGTAGCAATATTATTTCATGGTTGCGGGATCACAACACCATGAGGAACTATATTAAAGTGTCATTAGGGAGGTTGGGAAGCACTGATATAAATAAGTCCTCATTATGACTCATTTTCCAGATGATTCCACATTGTGTAACATCAACACCAGGATTTAAAAGGGTACAGAACGGATGAATGTCATTACAGGAAGATAATTAGTTTCATAGAGGATGGCAATAGTCTCCATACACTAGCCTTCAGGATATTACTATCCAACCAGAGGCCTCCGTAAAAGTCCTGTTCCATTCCTAAATCCTACAGAGCTGGTGGCCTTTACCTTGGTAGGAAGGGACTTTAGAGGGAGATGAAATGTTATCAGTGAATCATGGAAAGTAGTATCTGGATGTGGCTGAGAGAAAATTTAGACAGAGATTTAGGTTTTATCATCCCATATCTTGGACTGTCTTCAATTTTCATCAGGTGTCCACAGACTGATATAATGACTTTAGCGGGTGCAAAGGAAATGAATCTGATTGTGACTCCCACATCGATGTCTGAGGACTGCCTGTATCTCAACATCTACACACCGGCTCATGCCCATGAAGGATCTAACTTACCTGTGAGTGTCAGGCTGTGGTCAGCTGGGGAAGAGGATGTTTCCTTCACTGAAAGGATGGAAGGGAGAAAGTAATTCTGAGATCCACTGCAGTTTAGAACCTGGTTAGTAGTCTTACCTTATTGGGTTCAAGAAGGTCATCTCAGCCATGGTGAGTTGCTTAAACCAGGGTGTGTGACTCAGATCTCTGGGGCTCTGAGAGGTAAGAGGCTCTAGGTCTTTGATTAAACCAGGAATTCTTCTACCAACTTGAACCAGGCAGAACTACTCTGGAGGGTACTCGAGGGCTGCATATTGACATCATGAAAATGTCCTTCTGCAAGTTATCCATTTGGCCAATGGGATCTGATGTCCCTTCTGAACAGTAATCAGGAAAGACACTCAGGGAGATACCCCGATTTGCTCCACTTTGATGGGTCTGAGGGTGATAATGATATTACTTAAAACTAGAGCCATCAATCCATGCTGAGATTTCCTGTTGGGGAAGTGGGAATGGAAATATGCTTATAGGCCTAGAGTACCCGATCTGTGAACCATGTCCTGAGATCCTGAGATCTGTGTGTAAATCGACCTGCACAGAGAAAAACAGTTGATAATCTAATAGGCAGTCCAGTTGAGCTAGGGTTAGGTATGGCATCTGTGTTGATTTCTTCAGGTGATGGTATGGATCCATGGTGGAGGACTGGTTGTAGGAATGGCATCTATGAATGATGGATCCCAACTGACAGCTACTGAGGATATAGTAATGGTTTCTATCCAGTATCGCTTGGGTATCCTTGGCTTCTTCAGGTAATCCTTGGACTGGACTGGACAATGGGGTCTGAGTAGAACACAAACAGACATCTGATTTCTGTTCCTGCCATTTCACAGCACTGGAGACCATCACGCCAGAGGAAACTGGGGCTACCTGGATCAAGTGGCTGCCCTGCGCTGGGTCCAGCAGAATATTGCCTCCTTTGGAGGCAACCCAGGCCAGGTTACTATTTTTGGTGGGTCAGCAGGAGGCACGAGTGTATCTTCACATATTGTGTCCCCCATGTCCAAAGGACTCTTCCACAGAGCCATTATGCAGAGTGGAGTGGCCCTGCTGCCTGACCTTATCTCTGATACCCATCAGATGGTCTACACAGTGAGTATGCCCTACAATAACAGTCCTTACCTTGCTGCTTCAGTACTTGCCTCTGGTTCTCTATTGATCTGTTTAGTGGGAAAAGAAGGATCATAGGAAATAGCTTCTTTCCAGTAATTTTTGAGGCATAAATTTTAGAATCCACCCCCTCTGCTTTGAGTTTGTTATTTGACAGCAAACCTGTGCACCATAGCTTCCATCATTGGCAAAAACACATATGAATGATTTGGTAGTTTGCATCCTATGTCTGTGATAAGGGCCATGACCAAAAGCTACTTGGGGAGAAAAAGGTTATTCCAGCTTCCAGTTTATCATCCATCTTCAAGGGAAGTTAGAGTAGGCACTCAGGCAAGCCCCTGTAGCCCAGAACTGAAGCAGAGACAAAGGAAAAACACCGCTTACTGCCTTCCTCAGTTTCTCTTCTTATACACTTGCCAATAGGTAGCACTGATCACCATGGGATGGGCCCCCAGCTTCTGTCATTTATCTGAAAAATACTTGGATTTGCCTTTCGACCAGTTTGATAGAGGCATTTTTCTCAGTTGAAGTTCCTCTTTTTAGATGACGATGGCTTCTGTCAACTTGACAAAAATTAACTAAGACATATGTATTGAGGGAAAGGGTCAGCTGGTAAAATACTTGCTGTCCAAGTGTGAGGTCCCAATTTCTAATCTGCAGAGCCCATGAAAGGCTAGACGTGTTAATATGTGTCATTAAACCCAATCTCCTATGCAGAGATGGGAAGCAGAGAGTAGAATCCCTGAGAGATCATAGTCCAGGTAAGCTGGTGTAGACAAAAGTAAACAAGGGGTAAGATGACAAGTGATACCCAAGGGTGTTCTCTGACCTTCACAGGCAAAACATGGCATTCCATGCTTATTGTCACTCATGAACCCCATACACACACAGACACACAGAGTAGAACAGTCTCTTTCCCAGTTTATGACCTCTGAGAAAAAAAAAGAGTAAATAATTCCACTTAAGTCCTTTCATACACAAGAAACAGTAAAATGTGGTATTCAGGGACAATGACAATACTTGGAAACAAGGAAACTGTACAGTGCTGGGAAGGATTAACCAAAGACTGCTTTTTTTGTTTACAGATAGTAGCCAACCTATCAGGATGTGAAGCCAAGGACCCGGAGGCCATGGTACACTGCCTACGAGACAAGACTGAAGCTGAGATTCTGGCTGTGAACCAGGTTGGGAGAATTGTGTGGACTGGAGGACCTGATCAGCATAATGTGGGATTGCCAGTATTTATTACTGAAACCAGTTAACTAATCCCAGTGGTTAGGTTTCCTTTTAGTACTGTGTACAGAAATAACAAATAGCCTAATTTTCATGACCAGTTTCTTCTGCAGTTAACATGCATCCTCAGATGAGATGGGAAATGGGGGAATAGTGTGGGTATTCAGTGGCCATCACAATATTCCATGAATGATCTTCAGCACTGATCCTTAATGCCCCATAGGTCTTCAAGTTGATCCCTGCGGTGGTGGATGGGACATTCCTACCTAGGCATCCTCGGGAGCTATTGGCTTCTATGGATTTTCATGCTGTTCCCAGCATTATTGGTATAGACAGTGATGAGTGTGGCTGGGGAATACCCTTGGTAAGACCTTGTTCTAAGCCCCTGGGAACTTAAAATGTTGGGTAGTGGGAACTCAAGAGATACTTTAATCTAGGTCCAACCCATCCTATACTTAAGATTATACTCTGCACCCCCCAGGCAAAAGGCCTTGATCATGTCATTAAGAACATAACCAGAGAGACCCTGCCAGCTATTATGAAGAGCATAGCAGCACAGATGGTGAGAGACCTTGCCTTCAGTCCTAACATATATTGTTCTCTGATGCCATGCCCAGAAATAAAGGCTAGTGTCTGTTTCTGTTTGGGCTCTCCCAAAGCTTGTACCTTTCCACCTGTAGCCTATCTCATCTCTGGCAACATTCCCTACTAGGAGCCTGCTGCATACCTATCCAAGAGTTTGTCTAACTTCACTCCTCGTGATTCTTCCTGGTGTAGATGCTGCCTCCTGAATGTAGTGACCTACTAATGCAAGAATACATGGGGGGTGTTGAGGAACCCCAGACCCTCCAAGCACAGTTCAGAGAGTTTATGGAAGACTTCATGTTTGTGATCCCTGCACTCCAAGTAGCACATTTTCAGCGTGAGTACATCTTTAATGAGACCAATGGTAGGGGAATCTGTGGGTCCCAGATGAGCTCTGTAGTGTCCAGGGCTGACACATGTCATCATCAGGTCTCTGATACCAGGTACCTGAAGACATTTACCTCAGAAAATTCTTATGACTAGAGATAATGGATTTCATCTTTTCCAGGTCCAGAGGAAGAAACATGTTAATTACACTTGGTGACTTGTCAAAATTACTCATCTTTGAATGCCGGAGTCACTGGTTAACATGTTTCCCATAGTCAGTTTTCCAGTTTGGAGCTCACCACTCAACTGTGATTCCAGATAACTTTAGAGCAAGGTCTCTTGTCACTAAAGTTTAGGCAGAATAGCTGCATGTGAGAAATCATTATGTCAACATGTCCTCACTCCCAGGCTCACAGGCTCCAGTCTACTTCTATGAGTTCCAGCACCAGCCAAGCTATATCAAGTATAAGGATGTCAGGCCATCCCATGTGAGGGCTGACCATGGTGATCATGTTGCCTTTATTTTTGGCTCCTACTTCTGGGGCTTGAAAGGTGAGTCTTCCTTGTTTTCCTTGATCAGGATATAGTCCCTAATGCATTCTGTAGAGAACACTGAGCTTCCCCGTCCAGCTGAGGAAACTAGGGCTCAGAGAGAAGGGATCAAGTGTTCACCATTTCTGAGCAGAAAAGAACAAACTATACAAATGTTGGTATAGGAACCTTTCCTAGTTTAGCTTGTGCTGGAAGTAATGACAGCACACTGGGGTAGGAGTGAACCAGACAGAATTCAAGAGTCTTGGATAGATGCTGGGTTTTGGGTGCTGAGGGAAGAGAGTTTAAATCAGGCCTAGGGTTCAGGTTCAGGCTGTGGTTGCTATGGTAGAGCATAAGTTGCACCTGCATGAGGTGGCTAGAACTTGGGCCCTTGTCTCCTTCTGTCTGCAGTTGACTTCACTGAGGAGGAGAAGCTGCTAAACAGGAGGATGATGAAGTACTGGGCCAACTTTGCAAGACATGGGTGAGAACATCAACCTCCTATGTTTGGGTCTCCATCCATGGCTCCCATGTGGGCGTGCCTCATTAGCATTCATGGTCCTTAATTACACCATAGTCTTCTCTAATCCAGGGAACACTTAGACAGGTAACTTCTAACTTCACCTTACTGCTCAACTCACAGAAACCTGATGGGTGAGTCACAGTATTGTGCTACTGTTCTTTAAATTTTCCCCCTGAGAGGGTGACATAAAACTAGACATCTCCCCTTGCTTCATAAGGAGAAGACACTGGTCGGTGTCACTTGTTTTCTATATCACTACACCAGTCCATCTGCTCACTCAGGCCCTTGGCCTGCTCATCTACTGCTCTAAGCCAAAGCAGGGGATCAGGCTTTGGATTAGAGTGATCTCACCTTTTCCTGTTGGTGGCATATCCACAGGAACCCGAACAGCGAGGGTCTACCCTACTGGCCTGAGTTGATCCATGATGAGCAGTATCTGCAGCTGGACATCCAGCCTACGGTGGGCCAATCCCTGAAGGCCAGAAAGCTACAATTCTGGACGAAGACTCTGCCCCAGAAGATCCAGGAGCTAAAGGGGGCTCAGGAAAAGCACACAGAGCTTTAGTGCTCTATGTCAGGAAACTAATTGGGTTGAGTGCACGTAAGTTCATCCTCATGTTACACAGCCCATTTATTCATTTTTATGTGTTCCAGCACTTACATAAACAGTTCTCATTTTTCCTTTTTCTCTTTTTTCTTTTCTTTTTCTTTTGTTTTTTAATTGATTCTTTGGGAACCCAAACCATGCAATCAAATCCCATTCATCTCCCGGTCTCTACACATCTGCCTCTCACAGTTGCAGCATCCCCTCACCAAAGGAAAGGAAAGAAGAACAGAAAGAGATAAAAATAAACAATAATTTAATTTTTTAAATGGAAAAGCACTTCAATACTCTTTCCTGCCTCTCCATGGCCTCTTCAGTCATCTTAGTGGCACTGGGAGCTGCTGTGTACCATGCAGCATCCCCCTTTGTCCATCAGCTTTCCTTGCATGTGTTCATTGTGTAATGAGCTGTTGGTCAGGTTCTCAGTCTCTAGATTTGGCACACCATCAATACTGGATCCCCACTGCCATTCCTCTCTGATGTCCTGCTGTTGCCCAGAGTCATGGAGATCCTGTCGCTATGGTTCCCACATTATCAATTCCTTCAAACACTGCAGTAGATCATAGATGGTGTAGATTTGGGTGTGTACCAACTCTAATCCTTGGATGTGTGGCTGGGTGGCAGCTGAGTTGGTTGGTCATAGCTGCTCAGACCTCTCCTCTCAGGAAAGGGGCTGAGGCAGCTCTCCCAGGACCATGGTGAAGGGAGGGGTAAGCTTTCTCAAGTGTGGGGCACTAGCTCTCCTATTAGGGATGGGTCCAGCTTTCCCACCCCAAGGTTGGACCTTCATTGCCTTCAGGGGTAGCTAGATCCTGTGACATTGATGCGAACCCTGACTTCTGTGGGGATACAGACCAAGACATGGCCCTCAGTAGCAATTTGGTCCTGGACAACACTATGGCCACAGGTGGCAGCTCAGGCCACTAATATTGCTGACGTAGCCCCAGCAGAAACATGTCACTCAGACTTCAGACTGGCCACAGGTACAGCACATAGGTTGGGGGTTCTTGAGGCATTTGGTGATAATGTGGGCCACAGGCATTACCATAGAACAAGGTTGTGGTAGAAATACTGATTCAGATATGGTCCTTGGTGGCATCCTCGGCCTGGATGTCACCATGCTCCCAGGTGGCTGCGCGGGCCAGACCAATACACATCAGCCTGGCTTCAGGGTGACCCTCAGTCACCAAAAAAGCCCCAGGTGGAGGCCTGGACTATGGTCATCCATACTACTCCCAATGGTAACAAACACCATGGACATAAAAACAGACCCTGGCTACTGTAGAGCCATGAAACCAGACATAGCCCCTGGCTGCAGCTCAAGCCTGGATGACTCCATTCAGATCAAAACAGTGCCTGTGGTGGTGTGGCACTCCAGCACCTATTTGGCCACATGTGACAGCCCCAACCCCAGGCATCCTCATGGCCCTTGGTTGTAACGGGGTTATAGACATCAGCACAGATTGAGTCTGCAGTAGGGCCATGAACCCACACATGGCCCTTGTAGTAGCCCAGGACCAAATTAGCCCATAACTCCTGAGGGCAAGTAGGCCTCCCACCTCAGCCTGTTCTTCACAGCCTACCCCTGTTCATATCTGCCTCTCTCTAAAGGACGTGAATCTCTTCTCCCTCCCAAACTTCACCATATATTTGTGCAACAATCCAGCCCATCAGTTTTCTAATGGCACTGAACAGACCAATGGATGCTCTGAGTGGGTCTGTGTCCCTCTCACCACATAAGCATTTCTAACTCAGCATTTGCCCTTAAGTCATGTATGACAAACTCTCTGTGGAATTGTCCTTATCCTTTTGGGAAAACTTCGATTAGACTCAGCCAGTATGTTTGCATGTGTGAGGCCCAAAGCATCCCTATCTTCTTTAAGACTTCCATTGGATTGGGTTCCTTTCTTCCTCTCTCCCATCATCTTCTCCCCATCCCCTCTCCTCTCTTTTCCAAGCCTCAGATCCTCTTCAAATGGAGCAGAATCTTCAGGCACTGTGGACTACAGGAAATCCCATGTCCTCTATCAGCAAATTCAGGTTTCCTCATATATCTAATTTGCCAATAGAAAACCTGGTTTCTCCAAGCCATATTGCCTTCATAAATTCACAATCTGTTCCCAATAGATAATAAACTATAAATTGGACTCAGTGTCTGTTGTCTGTTTGGAGGCTGAGATGGCGCATGATAACAAGTCCCACATCTCTGAAACAAAACAAAAAAAAGCATAACATTAGTAACTTACCAAAAGTAACAAATTACGGTTTTGTATATTGAGAAATTTCGGGTCCAGATGCCCACAGATTTGCTGTGTGGTGAGAAACAGGTCTCTGGCTAGAGGTAATCTTATGCCCTCTGCTGGCAGAATTGTAAACAATGACATTCCAAGGACAACGTTTGGTGCCTGCTGACTTGAACTAGGGGTTGGGGTAGGAAAGATTGTCCTGTTAGTGAGACTGACCATGCAGGTCACTACACTCCTGTCCTATTCCCAGGCCCCACCTGCATTCCCTACCTGCACTTTCTTCCCCATGGAAGATTAATTTTAAAAATTCAAGGAGAAAACAGAATACATATATTTTGGCAGACTTCTATAAATGACTGAAGAGCAAAACTAAGAGTACAAATAAATCATGTTATACTTGAAGAATTACTGGACACAGGTGCAGATGTTACCATTATACCTCCACAATCTTGGCATCCAAGTTGGCCTCATCAAGAGGTAGATGTTTAATTCTTAGGGATTTGAATATTATCTCTGGTATAACAAAGCACCAGAGGTGTTGAATACATAGGGCCAGAAGACCAAAGAGGAAGGCTGAGGGCATATGTGGCTAATATAGCAGTAAATCTATAGAGTCATAATCTATTGCAGCAATGGATATCCAGATTAACATTTCTCCAGTATCATAAATTAAGCATAAACAAACTCATTCTAATGTTTTTTCTTAGAAAAAAAATTCTAAGGCACTATGGAAAACAGACCCCGACAATCCAGTTGTACAAAAACAGAATACAAGTGTTGAACTCCCAGACAACCAAAGGCTCTACCCTTATAATGGCTAGCTGACAAACCTGTCTGGGTGGGGCAATGGCCTATGATTTCTGAAAAGCTAGAGGCTCTAGAACAGCTGGTTCAGGAACAACTAAATGCCAGACATGTTGAAGAATCTGCCAGCACTTGGAATTCTCCTGTATTTGTTATTAAAAATAAGTCTGGAAAATGGAGAATTCTTACAGATCTGAGAGCCAACAATAAAGTAATTCAGCCAACGACCTCTCTACAGTCTGGAATGCCTGGACCTTCTCTGATACCTGAAGAATGGCCTATTATACTTATTGACTAAAAAAAAAAAACCCTGTTTCTTCACTATACCTTTAAAAGAAAATAATAGGGAAAATTTGCCTTCATAGTGCCTACTTACAATAATTCTCAGCTGGTTAACAGATATCAATGGAAGGTCCCCCCAAAGAGATGTTAAGTAGCCACACCCTGTGCTAATATTTTGTACAAAAACTATAAAAATAATTCATGTATAGTTTCCACAATCTGTAATTTACCATTATAAGGGTGATATTTTACTGGCTGATTCTAAGGCAGAGATGTTAGAAAAAATGTTCTAAGAAGTAAAGAAAGTTTTACCTCACTGGAGAGAACAAATTGCTCTTGAAAAACAATACAAAAAGGAGATTAGATTAATTACTTAGGGATATACAATAGGTCTACAGAAAATGAGACAACAGAATGTACAGATCAGGAGAGATTGGTATCAGACTCTTAAGGATTTTCAAAAATTCCCAGCTATAGACCATTATTGGAGTAAAAGGATATAATCGAAAAAGTTTGAAAAAAGACCCTAAAATGGGTAAAGGACTTGAATACTCCAAGAACATTATCAGCTGAAGCTGAAAAGAAATTGAATTGGTTAGAAAGAGAAAATACAAGAATCACATGTGGATCATGTGAATCCAAAGCTTAACTGCATTCTGGTGATATTACCATCTAGGGAATACACTTCAGAGCTTTTGATGCAGAGAGAAGATATTATATTTGAATGGATATTTCTACCACATAAACTTAATAAGAAATTAAACCATTATAGAAAAGAATTCTGATTTGATTTTAAAAGGAAAATTAAGATTTTTTCAATTGACAAGAATGGACCCAGTAGAAATTATTATACCTTTAACTAATGAGGAAATTTCCTCTTTATGGAAAGATAATGAATATTGGCAAAAAGCTTGCAGTAATTTTTTTGGGAAAGATTAGCAGCAATTATCCCAAAAGTGAGAGAATAAAAATCACAAAAAGAAAACATTTGAATCCTTCCACAGGTTGTAAGGAAAACAAGAATCTCTGGAGTCCCTACATTCTATACTGATGCAAACAGTATAGATAAGGCAGGATTTAACTCAGGAGATATATATAAAGTGGTTCAAAGCCCTTATAACTCCATATAAAAGGCAGATTTGTATATTCTTTTCATGGTACTAATAAATTTTGCAGAACCACTCAATATAGTAACTGACTTTCAATATTCAGAGGGAGTTGTCTTACACATTGAAACTGCTGAATTTTTGCTGATGATACAGAATTGATGTCATTATTTATACAATTACCGGAAAGGTAATGACCGATATTACTAGGAACTGTGCTAGAGGCCTCAAAATTTCATATAAAACACCATGTGAATAGCAAAGGTTTAATACAGGATTTTCTACCACTTAGCAACAAGCTAAGGAAATTGAAAAAAAAAACTTTCTATGACCAAACTCCTTTACTGGCAGGTAGTAACTATAAAGATATGCATAGAAATGAAATTTGGCAAATGGATGGGTTTCATTTTGCAAAATTTGGAAAATTAAAATATGTCTACCACATAATAGTCACATTTTTCAGGATTTCCAAGGACAACTGTTTTGAGCTCTGAAAGTGCTGATTTTGTATTTATACATCTAT